AAGGAGACTGGAACACTAGTCTGACCGACAAGATCATTAAGATAATAAAGTCCATCTTTTTCATTAGCAAGTCCAATAATCTTCCCATTGCCCTGGTCTTGTAAAATGCAAGAAGAATCAGAAAAAGTTACTCTGCAGGTCCGTTGATACTTTTACAAGTGTAGGCGTGGGATAGGTTTCCTACAATTGCTCCACATCACCGTGTACTCACTCTTGAACAATATGTTGGACGTCCTCTTAGTGCACGGTACATTCATTTTCATTTATTTATATGTGATTTTTAAATTATACGTAACTGAATAAGTTTTACATAATGCAGATGTAATGAAGTTTTGATAGCTTCTGAACAATCTACGAACATGTTGGTTCAATATCAAACATGTTTGGATCGACTTAAGCCCAACGAAGTATATTACTTAGAAATAAATAATTATAATTAACTTAGTAATAATATTAATTATTATTTATTAATGATTTCAGATTATTTGGACATTGTACAATCACGACATTATGACTCTATTACCTTAATATTGTCATAATGGGTGAGATATTTGGTTGACTTCAAGCCCTCTTATATGTTTTCATATTATCGAGTGACATCTACCAAATCGAGTGTTGCGACAATTTGGGCTTTTACAGAATAAATCGTCATATTGTAATACTGACACGAGTCTACATCAGATCGACCTATGAGGAAAACATGATCACAATTGGCAATGTCAACATGCAGCATATATATCACTATGGCATCATCGTCATGATCGGTGTGCATTTAGTGATGCGACAGGTATGTTGGCCGTGTCAGATGATTATCAATAATGATATGATTCGATTACAAGAAAGTATATCACACGTGAATCTGCTTATCATGGTTACATGGTTAGTATTATATTTCTTATATTTTTTAATTACAATATTTAAATCAAATTTAATATTAATAATTATTATATCAATTACAAGATTCTTTTGTTAGCAACATACAAGATTTTGCAATACAAGAAAATCTACCTGTATTAAAATCAATGTGTGATACTTGCATTAGCATAACTGAATCAAATTCAGTTTATCCAAAAGTAGCTTCAAACTTCAAAATGAGGCGTTCTCGTCGTAGGCGCAACCAAGCACAGCCAAATGAAGAAGTTCAAGAAGAAGCACAAGAAGCTAAACAAGTTCAGGAACAAAATGAAGATGCTATAAGAGATTAACAGATTATGAATACTCCTATACAATCACATTTTCTAAWGATTCCTACGCTAGGAGTTCATTTAGACACTGCATCTACTTCAGCTCATCAACCTGACCCATCACCTGTTCAGCAAGAACCTCGTCATGGACGTCGCGTAAGAAGGCCACAACAATGTGGTACATGATTATCTATGTTTTGTAATATGTTTAAAATTTTAAGACAACTTTTTGTATCAAATATGTTTTTCAGGTGTAAAATTTGATATTTGACAAATGTTTACTTTATAATATAAACAAATGAAAAAAAAAAACCTTATAATTCATTGATTTTTGTAACAACCGAAAAAAAATATATAAATATATATATATTTAAATTATTATTTTTTAGTCGTTTTCTTTTATTTTCTCAAGGATAAACCTTTTTGTTTTAAAAATTATTTTTAAAAGATATTTGTTCTTAGAATTCGAAAAAAAAAATAGAAAGAAAGAGTTTTATTAAATCTTTATCTTTTTATTATCCTTTTTAAATAAGGATTCATTAGGGTTTATTATAAAAGCCCTTAAACTCTAGGTTTTATTTTCTTAAACTGTTAGACCTAGTTTTTTCTCAAAGAGAAAAAGAAAAGAAAGGAAGAGGAGTTTGGTATTTTCTCTCAAAGATCGGTAAGATTTTCTTCTCATTGTTTTAGTTTTATTTTTTCTTGATTTGTAGTTCTTTAATTCAGTTTATTGGGAAAAGTTTTGAGGTCTTTGTTTTTTAGAATAAAAGATTTTAAGGACTTTTTATCCTAAAAATTTTCCAGAATTTTTTGTTTGAATTTTTTTGTTTATGAGACTGTTTTTGGGTTATTTTGAGACTTTTTTTGCATAAAAAGTCTACCTATTTGTATCCTATAAATTATAGTCTGTTGTTATGATTTTTACATGAAAAATTATATGTTTTTACCAAATTTTAAAGGTTTTCTATAAAGTTTTCAGATCTGATTTTTCTATAAAAATCAATAAATTGTTAATTGTTTTATAGAAAATTCTTGGAAGTTTTATTTTGTAAAATAGAAAATTTTTCAGATTTAAAATCCCCAAATTTTCAATTGTTTAGAAGGTTTTTAAGCTGGTTTTATTGAGAAACTTTTTGTAAATTTAGTTTGTATTGATTTATATCGATTCTTCTAATTTTAAAATTTGTTATTATTGAAATTAGAGGCTTTTTAACCTAGTTTTCAGATCTGGTTTTGTAACCCCAAATCCATACTTTCCTAATTATTTTGCATAAAAAAGTGTTTTGAATGGGAAAATTGGGTAGATAAGATTTGGGTTAGTAATTGGTTGAATTTTAAATCCTTGGATGGGATTTAAGAATTGATTTTGGATATTGGTTGTTTCTAGGCCTCTAAGTTGACAACTACCAAGGAAGAAGTAAATTAGATTCGTAGGATTTCTGAGGTAAGTAATTTGTCATATCCCTTCGAAAAAGTATTGTAAGTGATTTACCGTATCTTTCGAAAAGTATTGTAAGTAATTTGTCATATCCCTTCGAAAAAGTATTGTAAGTAATTTGTCATATCCCTTCGAATAAGTATTGTAAGTAATTTACCGTATCCCTTCGAAAAGTTTTGTAAGTGATTTGTCATATTTCAAAAACTAAAATGTATTTTGGATTTGATASGAMGATTTGAAWTTGATATCTTGCATATGAAATTGAAGTTTTATTATGGATTTGAAAACTAATTTGGCAATTGAAATTATGTTTATTTGTAAAGTATTTGAAGTATTCTTAAATGATTTGATAAAATTTTGCTTAAATTTATTTAAAGGTTTGAAATTGATATTTTGTTTATTTGTGAAATATTTGAAATCCTGTTTT